TATATATATATATAATGAGTAGTATTTTTTAAAAACGTAATTGACTACAAGGCAATAAAGATTTATAATCAATTATAAGTATTGATTAAGAAAATATAATAAAATTTATTAAACTATATTCAAATGATGTTTTAATATAAACAATAATTTTTAAATTTTGCTTCAATCTTTAACATTTTATGGCTATCTGAATAGGGTTGTCAAAACGACTCTTTGTTCGTGAACGGCTCGTGTTCGGCTCGCTAAACAAATGAGCTGAACAAGAACACACCTTTTGAGCTCGAAATATGAACGAGCCTCGCTCGTGTTTGGCTCGTTTACACCGTCAGGCCTGCATGTAAATGCCTCTTCGCTTGAACAATATTTTAACAATTTCATCGAAGCCATGATGTTCATTTTGTTCTATTATCATGCAAAGAATAAACTCACATATCGCCAAAGAGCATCCAAGCTTCAAGGCACATGTGCTATTGAAAAACTTAGATGGTATAAATATAAAAAAAATGAAGTTTAGGTGTTAGATATATAAATACAAAAGAATCAAGTGGTATGTATGTAAATACTCCTTTCATATGGGAAGATTTATATTCACACCACTCAATTCCTAAGTATTTACATATCTGACATCTAAACTTCATTATTTACATACACGCCACCTTAATGATGTATGAAAATGTGTATTTTATATTTTTTAAAGTTAAAATTTGATATAAAAATTTTAGGTTGTATAAATATAAAAAGTGAAGTTTAGATGTTAGACTTTTAAATAAAGAAAAATTAAGTGGTATGCATGTAAATGTCCCTCTCATATTCAATCCACCCACAGCCTAAATTCTTTGAAAGATTTCATGCCAAAACTAGACATTTCGTGCCAATTACTTTGGGGCGAAACAATTGAACAATTAAGAGTCTGTTTGGAGCAGCTGTAATTTTGGACCTGTTGAAAAATAATCTAATATTCAAAAAGATGAAGTGATAATTATAATTATATATATATATATATATATATTGAAAAAAGTCAAACCGTAGTTAGAAAGTTGACACCACATCTAGCTTGAACCGGTGGGAAAACACAGATTTCAACTGTAACTTTTTCAAAAAGCTATCAAAACTCAATTTACCCATACTCACAAAATTACGGTGTGGTGCAGCACCGTCTGTCACCGCATTGCCGCTCTAAATGTACCGTAAGGCGTGGACGTTGTCTACTCTGGTGCTCAAATTGCTCGGCTTGGCTTGATAACATAAATTCATTTTTTTCTTATAAATTTTTATTAAATAATCTTTTTTAGTGCTATTTCTATATAATTATTTTTCTAAAACATATTAACTATTTCTCTTATTTATAAATTAGTTCTTGTTCCTAAAAAATTGAAGAAAATACTGTTGATTTTTTTTTATTAATTGCAATTGTACATCAAAAAAAATTTCTACACTCGTATTAAGAAAATCTACGGAAAAAGATGCTAAAGGTAGGCTCACAGTTAGGGGATCGTGAGAACCATCTAACTAAATATTCCGAGAACCAGCTGTCCGATCGAAAACAAGATAAAAGAGCATCGGACTCAAGTACTATAAGAATTCGACTTGATGCACTAGCCTACCCCCAAGTACAACAATTCAAATGAAGATCCATTTTCATAAACCATCCCAAGCTTTTCTTCAAGGATCGAGGATAGTCAACCAAGTTGGATCAACTGACAAAACTAATCCCGAGTCAACTAAGCTTAGCCGACCAAGTCATAAATGATCAGATGACAAATTCATACACCTCAAACACAAAAAAAATACCTTAATACCTCAATTTTTTTTGATGTGATTCACAGCAATCTTTGATAAAAAATAGCAATTTCAATTTATTTTCCGTCAAATAAAAAAATGAAAAATAATTTTTATTATAATTAATAATATTTTTTATTTGATTTATTTTAAGTAAAATAGAACATAAAATATATCGGGTGATACTAAAGTACTGAGTGGCTTATGGTGCGTCTATAGAAGGCTAAATCTGGCGGTTTAAATGTAGTGATAAATAGGTTGACACGTATGTTCCAACCGAACCGTAAGTCCTGTCTGCATAATTTCAGTAGGATGGGATTTGCTTGGAACTTCTGTCGGTTTATTTGGCATTCAGGTATCCCGGTTAATAGCTATAAAATTTATATGGAATATTAATGAGGGCAAAATAATATATATATATATATATATATAGCATGATATGGCTCCCTACGCATCAATCACCAAAAAGGTTACAAAATGAAAATTTGATAAGGAACCCCCTCTATGAAATATATTGTTAAAATGGGACCTATACATCAAATTAAATAAGAAAAGGTTAAAGGTTCACTAGTTTGATCGGGATTAAATCGAATGATGTAATAAATTATA